ATCTCAGTTAGCTCTTGCTTTTTTTCCATAGAATTATGTTTATGGGAAACTATATTTCTGTCAGCCTAAATTGTAAGGATTTACCTTCTTTTTTCAAAAGAATTGACCTATTTTCTATTCTATTATTCAATGCTTCTAATGAAGTTGTTTCAGTAAAACACGAAAGAAAAAGAAAATAAGAATCTAAAAATTTTAAATAACAAGAAGAAAACAAAATTTAAAATCTGGTGAGCTAGCCGAAAAAGCGTAGCTCTCTCTCGTTCTACTTTATCAACTTCAGCCGCTCAAGCCATAATTATTAGCTCTGAGTCAGTTTTTGTCGGAGTTGAAGTCTCTAATTTTTTTTCCCTTTCTTTTTCTTACCCTCTTCACAATTGTCTCTTTCTTGTATTGATATACTCGGTCTTCTGTGAGTAAAGGTAATTTGGATCAAATTTTGCGATGACGAACTGATAGTCACTACCTTTCCATGGAGCAGCGGCGGCCGAGACATGGCAGAGAAGTGACGGAGGGTCGGCATTTAGGACTTAAGGACCTCGTCAGATCTGGTTTTCTCCTTTCAGATCTGTTGAGCGTCTTCATGAAAATGGAGCATGACACAGGGAGCCGCTTTCTCCACCATGATGCTGCCTTCCTATCCAGTGGTGGTCCTACGGAGGAGAGGTTACGACAATGGAAAACGGTTTGTTACCGGTCCATTTTGTTCGTCAAGGTTCACCTTTTCATTCATGCCGGTTTAGTCAGCTAAGGAGTGGGACACGGTTTGCTTGTGTTCCCTAGATTTGGTGTACCTTTTTGATCCTCTTGCTTGTGTCTTTATGTTGGAATTTAGAGTGCAATTTGACAGTTGTAGTGTTGTCTCAATTTATTTTTTTTAATATTTGACAAATTTAGTTGCAGTTTCCTCCTCCTTTTGTGGTGGTGGCAGTGATCTCTCGTCGGTTTGGTGGATAATTGTTGTATTTGTATTGGGAGTAGATCGTCGAGGCTGATTATGTGGAGGTCTATGGTAGGCTTCTATCTAGGTGTAAAGTGGACGTTAGAGAGTTCGTTCAAACCGTATCCAAAAATTGTGTCAATTGTAAAGCGATCTTTCTTGTCGGGTTGTGAGGTTTGTTTCTTGGTTACGAGTTAAGGATGGTATTGTTTGGTAAGCCATAGGCGGCGATGATAGATCCGGTTGAGAAGACGTGGTGTCTTGGATTCTAGTGGATGGTATTGTTTGACTGGCCGAGGGCATCATCGATATCTCCAGATCTTTGTTTTCTGCTATTTAGGAAGTTTATTGCTTTGGATTTCCATATACTTTTATGTATATGGTTTTAGTTTGTTGTGATTTGATGCAGTTTCTTGGTTCGATGCCTTGTTTGTATTGTATTTGAAAGTTGTCCTGGTGTGGATTCTACTTAGCTGTGTTTTTGGGTTCTTGTTTCTAAAGATGTTTTTATCCTCTAGTTTATGTATTAACGGCATCTCCAACTATGACACAAAATTTGGTGTTGAAATTACACCAAATTTAGTGTTTTGGTGTCAAATTATTTTTTGTTATCTCTAACCATGACACCAAATATTAAACCAAATGTAATTATATATTATTTGGTGTGTTAAGTTTTCAGAATTTTTATCTTTTTATTATTTATAGTTGATAAATAATTATTGTAATTAAATATTATATTTTTAAATTTTTTGTAATATTCTGTTTATAAAATTGTTTACATTTCTGTTTTTTCGGATTAACAATTTTATATTTTTATGTATTCATTTTATATAAATATTAATTATATTTAAAATTACAGAACTCTTAACTATGAAAACACATAACAAACATGATATATTTATTTTAATGATAAAATATTAATTATATATAAAAATGCTATTGTAGTATTTGGTGAATTTAGTAATATTACAAAAAAAAATTGAATTATTTATTATTAAATCTAATTTTACAATAATTTAATATTATTAATTGTTCATTATTAATTAATTTTTAAAATATATTATTATTTTTAAATATAAAATAAATCATAATAGTCATTTAGTGATTTTTATTTGAAAATAAAAATAAATATTTTAATTCTGTAAAATGATTAAAAATACAAAAAATACAAAATATTTGTGTTGTGCTGCACATTTAAACTAATTAATAAAAATAACTGAACTATGTTATTAAATGAAACTTAATAAAATATGTATGTTAAATATTTGATGTGATGAATAGTGTTAAAGAAAATTTGATGTAACACTATTTATTCTATGTCAAATTTATTGAAATAATATTATTTTTAGTATTTTATTAGAAATAAAATTATATCAAATTTGGTGTTTTAGTGTGGTATGGAATTGGTCTTAATATATCACTAGATTTTGACCCGCGCTTGAAAAGCGCGGTAATTTTTTATGATTAAAAATTTATATAATTGTGTTTTGTCTTAATTTAAAGAATATTTTGATATAAAATCAGTTCACCAAAATTTGTGGTGATGATTGTTTTTCATTAGTTTTTCGTTTCAGTTTTTATTTTTTGATTTTGGTTTTTGGTTTTTAGTTTTTAAGTTTCAACTTTTTATTTTCAGTTTTTGGTTTGGGTTTTTAATTTTTAAACCCGCTGAGTTAGTTTGAACTGATATTACCAACAAACAAATCTCAAATAATCGAACATCTAATTTAAAACTGAAAAGATGACAACAATTTTTTTAAAAAGTTGAAATAGTTTATTTTGTAAATAACAAAGTAAAAAATATAACATGTGTTTTCAGCTTTTGGTTTTGGATTTTAGTTTTTAGATTTGGTATTTGGTTTTGCTTTACATTTTTTTAATCAGTAAATTATTTAATAAAAATAAAAAAAAATTATTTAAAAGTTACCATTGAAATTTATCAAAACAAAGTGATTGTTATTTAAAATAAAAGAATATATTAACATGTTTTAAAGTACATGATTTAAATAAATGATTAATAATAGATAATTTTGTTTTGTTAAAAATATTAAATACTTTTTGGGTCTGAAAATAATAATTGATTTTTTGATATTTTAAGGTGAAAATTTTATTCAATGTTTTTTTGGAGTTTTTTCTTAATACTAAACCCAAAAACCAAACTATATAATTTGTTCAAAAAATAAAAGTAAGCCCAAGACTATATTCCATAAATAACCACTGCTTTAATTTAAGTATAATTAGTAGATTTTCATATTCCATATTTTGATGATATATATTCTTTTATAATATTACATATTTGTAGGAGAAAATATGTGTTTTCGGTATACACATAGATATCTACCGTATTTTGAAAGTAGTTTACATTAAGCTCGTATTTTTACATTAATTGTGTTGGTTTAATTAAGTAATACGGTTCAATCAATTATATGACTTATATTATTTGTAACATTTTAGAAAGGGTCCAAATTTAAATGACAACTTGTATCAGTAGATAAAAATAATGACTATATTTTAATAGAATAGACTAGATCTTGACCCGCCCTTGAAAGGGCGGGTACATGTTTTGTTTTGTTTTTTTTAGAAATTTAATTTTTTATTTGTATTTTCTTGGAATTATATGTATCTTTTTGTATAATCATGTTTCTGTCTAAATCTTAATTAAAATCTATTTATAAAATAAAAGCGATTTAAAAATCGACCCACCAACATTCACTTGTTTCTTTGTAGTTATATACACATATGTTCGTTTCCTTATAATCGTATTTATCTATTTCTTAACCCGTGTTTTTAGTTCTGGTATAATGTTGGTTTCTATTTTTTTTTGTTTTTTGTGTAAATATATTACATTTGTCTGCAATTTTTTTTATATGTATAAAAAATTAATTTATACGTTTGTGTATAATTTTTTTTAAAAAATTGTTAGTAAGAATTTTTTATAAATGTATTGGATTTGTAATGTTACATAACTATACAATTGTGTCATAACTATTTTATACATTAATTTTATACTTTATTATTAAATAGTGGTTAATTATTATTTTTTAAATAACAATGTATAGTTATAATTCTGTTTCGAGGGAGGACATTTCGGTGGTAGGATACGGATCTCTTATTTTGGTACTAACTTTGTTAAGATGGCCGATACTTCTGTAGCGAAACATAAGGTTGGTTTACAGGTAATTGGTTACTAAAGAATATTAACTGGTATATACTTCTCAGGTGATTTACTAAAAATTAACCCATTTATAAAAATTATTCAAATATCATTTATACTACTACTACTATTAGATTATGATTTTGTTATAACAAATTTTTTAACGGCCTATCGAATTGGAAATATAGTCTATAGGGTTTCGTCAGACAGTATTAAAAGGGTTCTTTAACTTATGAAGTTGCTTGAGAGATATTTTTGTATATAGAAAGGTGTTGATTCCAAAACATACTGGTTTAAATAGTGCTCTGCATTCTATGTATCAGATAATCAACTCATATGTGTTTAACGTTAACGTATATTCATAGACGGGTGACGTCCATATATGTTTCACCTGTTATGAATGTTTCTGGGATTGTGATTGATTTTTTTTTGTATAACAGATGTTTAATTACAATCATAGATGGTGAGTGATTTTTATAGCAGATGTAACTTATATTTTTCTGGTGGCCTGGTTTTTTTTTTAATAGATGTACAATGTAAACATTGGTGTGGTATTATAATCATAAGTTACATAACATGCACATTCATAGCTTGCGTAATTATATTTTGGATTAACGTTGATATATTTGACTTAATATAACTTATTGTTACAATATCATATATATTCATGGCAGAGATTTTAGGTGTTGTGGTTCAAATTTTTTCACTTCCCAAATTATCCTCCTAGACTTCATTTTTGAAAGGCAAATTTGATGGTACAAAAAATAATATACCAAGGAAACCCAAGGATAAATTCATAAAAAAGATTCTATTTTAATAGTATTGATATTTAAGAATGAATTCTAATTAAAAAAAAAAAGCCCAGTGAGCTAGCCAGATGAGATAGATAAATCCAACAGAACTGTCGGAGGGCTCTGACAAAATGCACGAAACTACGAAAGGGTAAACAAGTAATTGCAGGAACTCCAGTTGTTTCACGTCGGTTTGATTTGTTGATTCTTGTCTTCTTCGCCACTGTTCTTGACTCGTGTTTAAAACCTCTCATCTTCTCTCCTTCCCAAAATAAAAACAGACCAAACGTCTCTAATCCTCATAGCCTTTAAGAGATCTAGAGAGAGAGAGAGATGAGAGACCCGTCGATGGAGAGAGAGAATGGAGCATCGGATTCAACGGCGGCGACAACAACAACAACGACCACGACAGAGATAGCTTCTCCTCCTCCAATGAATTCACCGCGTCAAGCGTTGGTTGAGAGACTTAAAGATTATGGACAAGAAGATGTTTTCGCTCTTTGGGACGAGCTCTCACCCGAAGAACGAGAGTTCCTCGTCAGAGACATTGAGGTGTGTTTTAGATCTTCTCAATTAAATCAAATCTCAGATTGGTGTTAACTGAAACAGTGTCAGTGATACTATTTTTAACTAGTTCTTGATTTGGCCATTTCCAGAGTTTGGATCTTCCAAGAATAGATCGGATCATCAGATGCTCGCTTCACTCTCAAGGTTTTCATCAGTTCTCAAGTTTCATGCATTGTCTTTTTGGATTTGCTATTTTCATAAATCTGTGTTTATTTTTATTTTTATTTAGGTTTGCCTGTGGCGGCAATAGAACCAGTGCCGGAGAATTGGGTCTCGACGGTTGATGGAAGAACAATGGAAGACAGAGAGAAGTGGTGGAAAATGGGATTGAAGACTATCTATGAAGGCAAACTAGGAGTGGTACTTTTGTCTGGTGGACAGGTACTTCTTGTCTGAATCTTTTGTGATACTTTTTATTAAATATATAGCATTAGTGCGACTGTTAATTAGTTTAAGTAGTAAAGTTAATTAGAGTGCCTAAATGATTCTCTTGTTGATGGGTTTTCGAGTAATGCCTTACCTACTTAAGATTAAGATGGCTTTAGTGCGGTCTTTACTTTAAAATAATTGATATAATCTGAACCGGAGAAATTGTTAATTAGATAAGTAAAGGGGTATTTATTGTGGTAATCATATGAATAATTAGAAACATATCACTGTCGGTGGGTTTTAGTTTTTTAGGTAAGTTGAGTAATGGCGATGTCTAGGAGGAACCTTCTGCTTAATTGTAAGAAATATAATGGATCGTGAATGATCACGTGATCTAAAAAGATGCTTTTTATAGAATCCTGTAACTTTTGATTATATAATAAATATTCCATATTAAGTTGCTCTGTTTCGTGTGATGTAAGGAAGGTTGAAAATTTCTGATTTAAAACATGTGAGTTGCTTGGATATTACTTCATTTAATAACTTGAGAATATGTTTCTTCTTTATACTCCCCTCTCGTAATTGTACAAGGAAAGCGAATGATGTCAATAGCTTTAAGTCAAGGTTTTTAAAACCGAACCATAAGCTGAACCGGATAATTATTTTGATCAATATGGTTCGTCTAGATTGAATTTGGTTCAATTTTTTATTTATATGTTAATTTTCAATATATAAATTTAAAAGTAATTTTAGTTAATATGATACATGATTAAGATTTTAATAAACTATTGTCGAACAACAAACATTAGAACTATTGACTAGATTTTTTATTCATCCGGTTCATGGATTTTTTTTTAATTGTTTTAATGGTTTTTATCTTCAATAATTTTAAAATCTAACCCAGCCCATGACCGGTTTATTGTCGAACTTAGTCCAACCATCGGCTCGGTCGGTTTTTTTTTTTTTTTTCTTGAAACACGGGTCGGTCGCTTTTAAAAACCCATTTTAATATATTGCGTTAACCTTTTTCTGCCACATTGTAGTGTTTCTGTTTTAGTACATTCTTCAAAAGAATTCAATTGAAAATGATTTTATCATGAACCTATAGGGAACAAGACTTGGAATTTCAGACCCAAAAGGATGTTTCAGTGAGTGCTTCTATTCTAGTTCTGCTTTTTCTCTACTTAGCAACTGAAACACTTTCTTATTATGCACATATTAACATGGTAGTTATTAACTTAAATTCAATCTCAGATATCGGACTTCCATCAGGGAAGTCGCTCTTCCAGATTCAGGCAGAGAGAATCTTGTGTATCCAAAGACTTGCTGCTCAAGTAGTGGGTGAAGGTTAGACTCATGCCTTCTTTCTTCTACATTCAAGTGTATCATGCACCAATTACAACATATCTTGACACTCGTTATTCAAAATATTACTTTATCTTCAGGTCCAACACGCCCAGTTACAATACACTGGTATATCATGACTAGTCCATTTACTGATGAAGCGACACGGAAATATTTTTCGAGTCACAAGTACTTTGGCCTTGAACCAGATCAAGTAAGATATCTGCTTCTTAGTTGTATTTTTTTTCTTTCATACTGTGTCTGACCAAATGTTGATCTTTGACTACAGATAAGTTTTTTCCAACAAGGTACTTTGCCTTGCATTTCAAAGGATGGGAAGTTTATCATGGAGACACCTTTCAGTGTATGTATACCATTTTAAATTGTTCTGTTTTCCTTTTATCCTATGGTCAGTATATTAGTCTTTATGAGTTTATATACATATTATCAGCTAGCTAAAGCTCCAGATGGTAACGGGGGAGTCTATGGAGGTATCTTTACTAATTGATTCTGGTCTTTTGCTTTAATACATTTGTCATCTTTGCTGATCCAAGATTTTACAGCTCTAAAGTCTTCAAGGTTGTTAGAGGATATGGCTTCAAGGGGAATTAAATATGTGGATTGCTATGGTGTTGACAATGTCATGGTGAGTTTTCTAGCACAATCTCGAGTCCTTATTATAGTTTCTTAATTTTTCTCAACTCTGTCTCTTGGATATAAAGTGACATCTTGGAAAGCAGGTCCGAGTTGCTGATCCTACTTTTTTGGGGTACTTTATTGACAAAGGTGCTGCTTCGGCTGCAAAAGTCGTGCGTAAGGTATACATGATTATATTCATTCTCAATAATGGTTTGAGAAAGATTGTAAGAATGAAAACTTCATTTTTCTTGATTATTTAATGTTTTTTGTATGATGAAAACAGGCATATCCTCAAGAACAGGTTGGAGTATTTGTTAGAAGAGGAAAAGGTGGACCCTTGACTGTAGTTGAGTACAGTGAGCTAGATCAGTCAATGGCTTCTGCAATTAATCAACGAACAGGACGTCTTCAATATTGCTGGAGCAATGTAAAAACCCTTTCTTATGAATTTCACAACTCGCACCAAGCTGTTAAAAGCTTATGAAACGTTTTTGTTTTACATCTTTTGTCATCAGGTGTGCTTGCACATGTTCACCTTAGATTTCATTAATCAAGTTGCGACGGGCCTAGAGAAAGACAGCGTGTAAGCTCCACAAAATACATTTTAAATCTCGCAATCAAAACCTTATATTATGTGTGTATTCAATGTGTTGTTTTTGGTAGCTACCATTTGGCGGAGAAGAAGATACCGTCTATGAATGGATACACAATGGGACTGAAACTAGAACAATTCATTTTTGATTCATTTCTGTATGCTCCTTCAACCGCACTCTTTGAGGTAAACTATATCCGCTCATTTACACAAAATAGATGACTGAAAACAAATATTAAAAACTGGATTAAGAAATGTTTAGGTTTTAAGAGAAGAAGAGTTTGCACCAGTGAAGAATGTAAATGGGTCAAATTTCGATACACCGGAAAGTGCGAGGCTTTCGGTTCTAAGGCTACACACACGTTGGGTTATAGCAGCTGGTGGATTTTTAACACATTCTGTCCCTTTATATGCAACTGGTAAAACTTCAAAAATATATTCTCATTAATTTTTTTTGTCATAACTTTTGTTCCTTATGTATATATATACATATTTTTAAAATCATCTAATACGCTGCAAATATATAAATAAATTAGGTGTTGAGGTTTCACCTTTGTGCTCGTACGCTGGAGAAAATCTTGAAGCTATTTGTCGTGGAAGAACGTTTCATGCACCTTGTGAAATCTCCCTCTAATGATTTTCTTTTTGTTTGGTATTGGAATGTCGTCTTCTTGTTCACATGCTTTTCTCTTCTTTGCTTTCATTTTTTTGTTTTTGCTTCCCGGCTGGTTTTTATATAAACTTAAATATTCCCATGAGAGAGAGGACTTGGCTTTTGTATCCATTGTAACATATCTAATAAAAATATGTTGGTTTTTAAAACTTTTGTGTATAGATTATCGAGTTGGTTCAGTATAAGAACAAAACTTAGATTCATCCTTTAGAGTGAACTTTTAAATTAATCTCTCTTTTTTATAACTAATTAAAACTAGGTGATTTTCCCGTGCTCATGCACGGGCTTTAATATTTAAGAAATAAATATATTATAATAGTTGATTGATATTTACTTTAAATTTTATATTAATTTATAGTTTGTATGTATAATTTGTATTATTAATTAAAATAATTATATTATTTTAGTAATTATAATTTTTTATATATTATATTTAGTCAGTTTTATCATATATATATATATATTGGATTCTTTCTATTTCTATGAATTCAACTATAATTTTTTTTATTCTAAATATCTTAAGTTTTTGATTAATTATTTTATTTACATTTATGTTGGTTGTTAACTACGAAATATAAGTATATCTTAGTAAGATTATGTATTTTAAGATTTTTTGTGCTTAGAACGAAAAAAATAAAAACTAAAGTGTCTGATTCTAAATAACATAAGTAATAATAAATTTTTGAAAGCTTATGAACACATATCAATATTTAAAATAATTAAAATATTTTATAAATTCTAAATAATTTATGCTATAGATTGATTGGATGATAAACTGAATTTTTTTTAAATAATTTTAAAAATAAGGAATTCTGATTTGCTTTAAGTATTAGATTATGGTTATATTAAATTCCACAAACATAAAAACAGAAAATTAAACATCAAAAGAGTTATTAAGAAAACAGATAATTTTAACTATTAATTATAATATATCTACCTTGTTAAATTATAGTGTTATGATATATTAAAAGAATTGTAGTTATTTGANTGATTTGCTTTAAGTATTAGATTATGGTTATATTAAATTCCACAAACATAAAAACAGAAAATTAAACATCAAAAGAGTTATTAAGAAAACAGATAATTTTAACTATTAATTATAATATATCTACCTTGTTAAATTATAGTGTTATGATATATTAAAAGAATTGTAGTTATTTGATCAAAAGATGTTTATTATTAAATTTGTTTTTAGTTTTGTTTTTAACATCTATTAAAATATGCAGTAAAAATGTGATTGTTTTTAAGAAATTATATTATGTAAGTAAAATATAATTTATATTTTTTGCTGTAATTGTAAGATATTATAATCAAATAAATATACAAAAAAATATTTCAATAATACTAATTATAAGTTTTTTGTCAATTAAACATATATAAGTTTATGTTACTTAATTATTTTATGTAATCATCTAATAAAATAGATAGATATATCAAAAAATAATTAATTTGAAAATATATATTTTATTGTTTAAATTACTTTTTAAAGAAAAAATATTTCTTTTCTAATATCAAGATTATTTGTATGAACTTTTTTAATGAAAACACATTATATACAAATATTTTTTTCATCTAGGAAGATATAGATATAAAGTATTTTATTACTTAAAAGTATAAATTATGTTATTTAAAAATATATTTAAGTTAAATATTACTATTTTGTAAACTTCCTTTTTTTATGAAACCATATTATATATATACTTATTTTTTCGTTTTAAATTTTGTAAATTTTATAAATATTTCCTTTTTATTTTATATTGTTATTTGGAAGATTTTAAAAAGGAAATAATAATATTAAAATATATTTGTAATTCATTAGGGGTATCATAGTAATCAACCAGCGTGAGAATTAACGTGAGCGCGACACCTAAGAAAGTGACTTCTCAAATAATATTATAGAGATGTTTAACTAATTAAAAATAACTAAAAATAGAAATAATGTATGTTGACGCAGCTAGCTAAATTGTAAACTCTAAATTTTAAATTTTAAACCCTAAATCTTAAATCCTAAACTCAAACCCTAAATCCTAAATTCAAATTGTATACCCTAAACTCAAAATGTATATATACTCTAAACCCAAAATTTAGATCTTAAACCCAAATCATAACCTCAAACCATATACCCTAAATCTAAATCTTAGACTCTAAACCAAAATCCAATAGCATATAGGTTTAGGGTTTGAGTTTAGAGTTTACGGTTTGGGTTTTAAGTCTAGGACTTGGGTTTAGGGTGTACGGTTTGGGGCTAGAGTTTAGGATTTGGTTTAAGGTATAAGGTTTGGATTCAAGGTTTACGGTTTGGGTTTAGGGTATGCATTTTGGGTTTAGGGTATACAATTTGGATTTAGAGTCTAGGAATTGGGTTTATGATTTAGGGTTTAAGATTTAGGGTTTAGAATTTACAGTTTAGGATTTACGATTTAGTTAGTGGCGTTAACATCATTAAAATTGGCGTTATTTTTATTTTTTAGTTATTTTTAAATTAATTTAATATTTTAAATTAGTTATTTATGTGGCACTTTGATTGGTTTTAAAAAGTAGGTGAGTTTAAAAGTTCGTTTGGAGTCTCCTTTTCCTCTTTTCTTCTTTAACCATCGTCGATCAATTTTGATTTGAGAAATCAACTTATCACTGTTAGTCAAAAAAACAAAAACAAAATATCACGTGTAGACGTTGTTATTCCTCTGCAGGAAAAGCTAAAAAACGAAGTTAAAAACTACATAACAGAAGATAATTAAGTGCTGAGACTTGAAACTTTTTTTGAGACTTAAAACTTTCAGTTGATCTTTTGCTAAACAACTATTACAAAACTCGTCTACACCACTAACCTATGTACACCACTGTTACATCGGTGATGAAGAATCAGCTATGTTGGAAGCTTAAACCACGTCGATATTGACAATTGGGTTATATGGCAGTTTGGTTTAAACGGCCGGTTAAATATTACTCATGGTTTACGGTTAGGTTAATAACCGGTTATCAGTTGTAACAACCCTTGCCTAATATAAAAGCAAGGCTCGTGAGTTATATTAGATATCAGAGAAAGATAGATTATACTAGGGTTACAACTTTATGTTACAGCCGTCACGTGATCTTGGAGAGTTAGTAATTTGCCTTGCCAAGCCCCAGAGACGTAGCCACATCGGTGAACTCTGGGTAATCAATTAATCTATGTGTGCTCCTGTCTTATTTTTCGTTCCTCATACAATTCGTGCATACTCGTGTTCCTGAGTGTTTTTCCGTGAGAGTTTCGTGTTGTGAATTGTGCAACGTAACTCGAAGTTGAACGATTCGCGGATTAGATCAAACATCTAAAACGAACATGAACCCTAACAAGTGGTATCAGAGCTCCGGGTAGCTGAGTTTTGGACTGTTGAATCAATGACGTCGAAGGCACGGATCGAGGTAGAGAGGTTCGATGGCAAAGGAGATTTCTCCTTGTGGAAGAAGCGTATGCTTGCTCATCCACTACAAGAAAACTCGTCCATTACTAGGACGGGTTTTCCTCGTTAGTTCCTAGTAAATGGCCTTTTACTAGGAACTTACGAGGAAACGCGTTTCCTCGAAACACGTTCATCGTAAAGCCATTTTCCTCGTAAGGTCGTAGCGAATTTACGAGGAAAGCTTTCCTCGTAAAGGCGTGGTAATATTTTCCTCGTAAGGTCCTTGGAAGCTTTCCTCGTAAGCTCGTAGTAAACATTTCCTCGTAAGGTCGTAGTGAAACATTACGAGGAAATAACTAGAACTTTTTACGAGGATATTACTTGGAATATTTTATGAGGATTTTGCTTGGAAATGTTTTTTTCCTATTAAAAAAATAATTACAAATAATTAATTTATTTTTTAAAAATAAAAAAAATCAAACTATAAATAAAAATAAAAAAACAAAATATTTTATAAATAACTAGATAATATACAATAAGTTTTTAAATTCATAATATACAAATAAAAATAAAAGAAACTACGGATGCTGGTCGTGAAATTGCTGACTGAACAAAACGTCGTCCTGGCTCGGCAAATTCTCTCCATAGTTGGTTGCCGGCTGTGACTGTGATGGCGGAGGATGTTGGGTACTTGGAATCCCTGCACGTTCCCGTCTCTGACGCAACAGCTCCTGCACTTGTGGGTTTCCAACCGCCATAATGTCGAGGATATTGGTGACAGAAGTGAGATCAACGGTGAGCGAAGTCACTTGAGACTGCGTCGCCTCCAACTGCGAGCGCAGCTGATCATTGACATCGTGCTGCTCCTGATGATAAGACGATGTCGCTGCAGGGACATCGTTAACCGAGCCAATCCCGATGATACGCCCCTTTTTCCTAGGGGCGACCTGAAAATAAAAATATTAATAACATTAAGAAAAATTTAAAAAATANAATTAAATATTAATTTAGAATATATTCAAATAAAATAAAAATTAAGTTAATTGATATTAAAAATCATCTTACCATGTCAAGACGAACTCCCCCGTGAGGTTTTCGACCCGTGGTGTGAAGCACCTTCGTGTTGCCATGCTCGTCCTTGGTCATGCGGTTCCCGGAGTTTGTGTTGGACGTTCTGACCGAGTCCGGCAACCTCCAATAGCTGATGAGGCCATCCCACACCGTGGTTGTGAGGCAATCGGGTTTCCCGGCCTCGTAACCATCCACCTGATTAAAAAAAAATATTAGATCATTAAAGTCAATATATAATATTTTTAAAACTATATATATATTATAATTTATAAATCAATACCTCATAGTCGCCCTTCCAGTTGTAGACCGTGTCGAGCAATCGTGCTTTTGCCTTGGCCTCAAACTCCTTCTTCACTCGCTCATGAATCCCAATAGACCAGCGATACTTTTGCTGTAAGCAGAAAAAATATAAGACGGATTAGTTCAATTATATTAATAATCTAAAATAATTAAAAATAAATTAACAAACTAAATTAACTTACAGCGAACGATTTGAACCACGTCTTT